GTTCAACAAATTCTGAGAAATTACTAAGAGACACTATGTTAGTTAATGAGGATGGAATGATGAAGAATATATATTACTTGATACCAAAGGAGCTTATTTTCTAGTATTCATAACTACTGAAGTGGTTGTTGATGCTCTTAGATTTTCCTAAATAAATGCTTAGCTCATTTACTCAGTCTGAAATGTAATTTTGAATATGGTACAAACTGAATTTTTATTGGTAATGAAATTTACCTAGACCAATGTTTTCAAATGCTTTCATTATAAAGATCTATATTCAGAATTAACATATCAAGTTTTTACATATCATTTCTATTTTCTGTCATTTATGTAAGAAAATTAGTCCATAGTAATATGAATTTGGCAAGTCTTTAAAATAAGTCTGCATTTATTCAGAAGAGAATTTCTATACATTTTAAATATAGCCATATATGTATCTGTGATGCGGATTATTTAGTCAAAATAATTCATACATTTGGGACAGAAATCCCTATAAAACATCAGCTAGATACAGAGGTGGAGCTATTGCTATGCTTGAACTATCTCACTTTTCCATTGCCTCCTGCTAAGACATAAGGGAAAACTCAATGTTGTACATCTGCACAGTGTTTAAAAATGAATAGGGGAGAGAAGGATGAGCAGGTGGAGCACTGAGGACTTCTAGGCAATGAAACTATTATGTACAATATAAATTAGTGGATATGTTAATAATGGGGAAGGTTGGGTAGGGGAGGGAATTAGGAATAATATGAGGACTCTATTTTCTGCTCAATTTTGCTATAAACCTAAGACTTCTCCAAAAAACTAGTCTATTAAAAAAATAAACAACTTAAATACATAGGGGAAAATACCTACTTATGTATGTGCATACATGAATATATATGCATCCATAAATGCACATATAGTAAATGAGACTATGTATATGAGTGTGTAATGACAGATCGATGATAGATATAGGCAACATATGAACCAGTCTATGCACATGTAACTTATGACACTGTATGATACATATATTTTCCATCTTCATAGCAGTTATTGAGATAACTGTCATTGTCATTTTAGAGACATACAATCCAATACTTATCACATTATTACCTTTCTTTGCTGAATTTATATCAATTTAATGAAATTTAGGAACTAAAAGTGGAATGTGACGTGTGTTAAAGGTTTGCTTGAATTTAAAAATGAACAGAGTTAAATTAACATCACAGTAATGGTGTACTGGCGTTGCTGTTAAGAAATATGGCTACACAATAATTCAGGCAAAAGATCTATTTTAAATAAAGGGAAAGTGAATTCTCAAATTTAAAGTAAAAAAATTATCAGTTTCACCACCACCAACATCATTTACCAAATCAAGTCATGTCAGTGCGCAGGATCTCATGACTTGAGAAAATATGAGAAAACATTTCCTAGTGCTCAAATGAAATTTCACTTCAGCCATCACACACTTAAAGTTTTAACATCCCAAGATAGAATTCATATTTCCACATCTTACTGGTCTTATTGTCTAATTTAAATAAGCTGTCCCTCAAATCAATAAATACAAAGTTGCCAACATGAATATTAAAATATAATTTGTAAATTTGAATACATTGGTTTTTTAATACATTGTTTTCTCATTTCCTAAATTATGCAAACATCCCCCCAAGCAGTCAGTTTGCACATCAATGTATTTTTCAAATTGTTAAAAAAAAAATAATAATTAGCTGACCCAATGCAGTAGCCCAAAACACATGATGCCAGGATTCGGGAAGAAGCAGGTGAATTGCCTTGGGAGATGGTCTACCATTTGACTTCTTTCATACTCATTGAATACCTAAAACTTCCAGTTTAATATTTGGAAATGTGTGATTTTTTTAGATGATGGACTTATAATTTTTCTCCATAATTGACAGGAATTTGCGGGTACTACTGTGTTTTAGTCAGTGTGCATAGTTCCTCCTAAGATATGTATGATTTAAAGATGGTGGTGAAAAAAACCCCACAAAACTCCTCTATTTCCAGAGAAAATCAGGAGATGGGAGGGTGTGAATTCTCTGGTAATCTGATCTGTCATTAAGCCTCAATTACTTCCATGTACTCACTCATACTGTCTATCCTCTCCTGCCATGCCAGCCCCCCTTCTGTCTCCAGATTATATTGGTCTGGGCTCCCAAGAGGCATTCTCTGCCATAATACAAATACCCAGGTTCCAACACACTCCACAAGCCACATTCTCAAGGATATTTCCACATCTCAAGATGTTTTCACCTGCAAGAACTTCCTCTCAGGAACTGTTCCAATATGTCATTTCCTGTATAAAGCATCAGTAGTAAGTCTTTTATTATTTTACTAAACTATTCTCATTTAGTCTAATTATGTGAAAACTTAACATTTTACCCTTGTTTTTCCAAATTAAAAATACCGGGATGCCTGGGTAGCTCAGGGGTTGAGCATCTGCCTTCTGCTCAGGGTGTGATCCTGGATTCTGGGATGGAGTCCAGCATCAGGCTCCCTGCAGGGAGCCTGCTTCTCCTTCTGCCTATGTCTCTGCCTCTCTCTCCGTGTCTCTTATGAATAGATAGATAGATAGATAGATAGATAGATAGATAGATAGATAGATAGATAGATAATTTTAAAAATAATATCAGACTATACTCTGTCTTCAATAAATTTTAAACTATTAATGTTGCAAGTCATCTTCTTAAACCCATTCCAGGTTAATACACTATTGGCTATACATATTTCCTCTACAGGTAAACAAATACCAAAGAGAGATAAATGAAATATTTACAAGGTTATCGGGGTTTATTTTAATTGAAATGAAATGGAGAATTATACTGATCACCAGGAAAATAACAGGGCTTAAAATTTGCTTGTCTTTTATGAAATATGTAGGTTGAAAAACACATTTACACTATTTAGGAAAAATGGGAGACACTTTTAGGTGCTAGAATAATCTTCTTTTAAACAAAATTTACTTTGAATACATCCTAGAAAATCTATACCTGTAGACTTATTTAAGGAATAAAGTTTGGCAGTCATTGATGCCAATGAATCAGTACAAAATCTTCAAATTCAAATATCAGACATACCTTTATGACTTCTGCAACTTTTGGTGACTAGCTATTTGTGTTTTCTTTGAGCTAATGAATGCCTGCTTTAATAATACCTTGAGTAATCATAATGGAAATTTTGTTTCCACATGGTCCATTTTAACAGAAATCAAATTATCACACTAAGATCTATTGCAGGATATTTTTTTTGGAGTGTAGTATTAAAGAGTGACTTAATTTGTATTGCTGAATGTCATTTGTAGCATTGCTACATAATTTGCCACAAATTTATACTCTGACAACTCATTTTTGTGGGGAGTTGAGATGTATACAGCATCCTTCCCCCTTTCTCTTTCCATAACCTCACTACCTTTCATGAACCCGTATTTTACAAGAAATATGCTTTGCTTTTTTTCACAGGTGAAGCATGTAACCTAACTTGACCAATCAAACCAGTATACCCCTTTACCAAATGAGTTCACTAAAGGTAACTCTCAGTGTTCTGAATTCTAGAAATCTGGTTTTTATCTCTTCTTCTCTACTATGTAGTATGCAGGTATGAAGTCTAGAACTGCTATAATCATTTGCTCACAAGCAGAAAGTTAATCTGAGAGAGACAAAGCCAAGAAAATCCCAGGGAAATCCATCTAGGCCCTAATCATATTTAGTGTTAAGTCCAATTTAACTCTTGGAATTGTCAGTTACATGAGCTAATCTTCCTGTAATCATTTGCCACTTTGAGTCAGGCCTGTAATTACTTTCAGCTGAAGTATATAATGGATAAGAATTTTGTGGAAGACATGGGTGGCTCAGTCGTTGAGCATCTGCCTTGGGCCCAGGGCATGATCCCAGGGTCCTAGGATCAAGTCCCACATCGGGCTCCCTGCAGGGAGCCTGCTTCTCCCTCTGCCTATGTCTCCGAGTCTCTCTCTGTGTGTGTGTGTGTGTGTCTCTCATGAGTAAATAAATAAAATCAAAAAAGAAAAGAAAGAAAAGAAAAAAAGAAAAGAAAAAGTTAGTTGTTACCTTGAGTGGGGCTACAAGGTAACAGACTAGAACTCCTTAAAAGTGAGGCAAGTGAGAAAGAGCACTCTGTTACATGAGAAGTTGAAAATCTTTAAGATTGCACAATGGTTGGTCAAAGTGGAGTTATTTAATTTGGGGGCCTCAGGGCATGTGTTACCAACAAGACAGCAACTGAAGGGATGGGGGAGTAGAATGATGGATTCTATAGTCTAAAAAGAAACAATCTTGCTTTGTTATAGACTTCTCAAAGCAAAGAGAAAAGAAAGCTAGGCCAAGAGTGGCTCTTCTGTCTTTAATCTGCAATACAAGTATACTACATTTAATTTCCAAAGACCTCCATGACTGGAAAAGCCAAATTACCCACAATAAACCAAACAGAAGGCTATCAAAATCAAAGATGAGAGATGTCGTGGGACGAAAGCGAAGAATGGGAAATCTATGGCCTTATGCTAGCATATTTTTCAGGCATTGTCTCCTGAAAAAAAAGCATAAATACTCACATTATGGAAAAGAAATCAAAATGAAGGTTGAGAAAAGGAGATAAATAAAATACCCACTACAGGCCATTCTTTCTATTGGGTTCAGTAATGATACTATCTATACAACTATATACCCACATACACTTTAGTGTACCACATATCCAAAGTAGGGCTCATACAGATGAATGTTTCCCAATTAATGATGTTAGTGGTGCTATAGTTATAATAGCATTTTTGACAAGCCTTTCATAAGACTACCTACCCAATTTCCAAACTACTTTAGGTTAGTGTGTTTTCCGCATGTAATTAGCTGACATCAAGACATCAAGAAAAGCGTCTTCAAAATGATTTACAGGTTAAACAATATTTTTCCAAGATGCTGTGGATACCAAACTTATAACAAGCCTCAGTAAGAATAATTTTTTTAGAAACATAGCAAAAAACACTAAGTCCGATGTCCTTTTACAGTAAATATTTAATTTTTTTCATTTCTAGTTTACAAGGGTTTCAAATGGACAAGAATGATTTACCTCTCCAGTAACACTCTTATATTAATTCAAGATATTTCAATTCAATATATGGTAATAAATTTCCACATATTACCCATTAGTGGTTTTTTTTTTTTTTTTTAATGGGGATGTAACATTAACAACCGCTATCTATAAAACGCATCATTATTTTGGTGGTTTTAACAAATGTCTCCTCCCGCTGTAAGTTCTAAAAAAAAAAAAAAAAAAAAAAAATCAAACAAAAATTTAAAAATTCTAAGAATTAGAGAACACTGAAAAACGTAATGAAGTTGAGTTCCACCTTTATAATAATTCCGTTTTACCCTAAAGGGGAATATTCAAAATACCAGACCACCTTGCGACCGCTCTAAAAGATTGGCAGGGGCAAGAAACTGTGTCACTGATAGGCGGGAGTTTTTAGTCCTCTCTGCAAATCATTAAGAAAATGTTCCAACGCAACAAAACAAAATATGGTGGCGATCCCTGAACCATCTTGATGATGAGTAGCTTAGTCCATATCAAATTTTTTTCCCCACTCATAGTAATCATCCTCCCCTCCAATGCCTTTAAAAAAAAAAAAAAAGAATACATTACACAGAACAATCAGAACAATAGCAAATCGAAGACAGCACAAGTTATTTTCAAGAACAGAAAAAATCTCTAGCGCACAGGTATGTCATAGCAGAGCAGACTTCTTTGGGGCCAGGCGTCAGTCAGCTTGGAACTCATTAGGAAGGTTTCTCTTTCCTTTTATGGGGAGAGTCTACTCTGTTCGCAGTCGCCACCCCATTTTCTGTTCCTTTTCTGGAAGACCTCCCTTTAGTCCGTTTCTTCTTCACACTTGGGGCCTGCAGGGTAGCGTCTTCCTCCATCCACCTCTGAAGCTGGACATTAAATAAATTCCAGGTTATGTACGCTTGGATGGTGCAACTGGACGAGAGCACCGCGATTTTCGCGGCCAGCACGTTGACGTTCCCGGCGGTGGCGTCGGAGTTCCGAGCCTGCCCTCCTGCCAGGTGAAAGCCAACAGTCACCACCGAGACGATCAACGTCCCAAGCCGGCCCAGGATGAACACAACGGCCCACAGGGAAAACTCCTTGCGGTACCTGTCGTCACTGAAGTAGAACAGGTCACAGATGTGGGAAAGGAATTCCACGAAGTAGTGCATCATCAAAAGGACGAGGCCCAGGTGGTTCAGGTACAACAGGTAAGCTCCGGCGATGTGGAAGAGGTGAAGGCCGATGTAGACCAGCTGGCGGGGGACGTCCTGCTTTTTGATCCTCTGGAAGTAGAGTTCAGGGAAGGCATGGAACCAGTAAGCCAGCTGGGATATGTAGAAAAACTTCATTTGAAAGGTCATCATGTTGTGAGGAGGGGCCCTCCATAAGAGGGTTGGGTCCGACAGGCAGTTTTCCGAAACTAGGATGAATGTGCCCCAGATACAGGACACGAGGTAGAAGGCGCTAAACTGGCCCGACTCGTTGAAGCGGCTTTGTTTCGGTTTGGGGAACTGCATTCGCCTGTTGATTTTATCCAACACGTACTCCTGAATGGTGGCGTGAATGATGATCGCCACCAGCATGTAGAAGAACACCGTGGCCAGGTCCTTGACGCCGTAGTAGTACAGGAACTTGGATTCCGGGGCTCGTTCCTCGGCCGCGGGGAAGGGGACGCCGTGCTGGAGGGTGATGAAGACGATGGAGGCCTCGGCCGTGCCCTCGAACATCAGCCCCAGCACGAAGAACATCCCCACGCAGGCCACGAGGTCCGCGTGGTTCTGCAGGATGAATTCGTGGCTCAGCACCGGGGGGTTCTTGGCGCTCTTCTTGCGAAACGCCATGGCAGCGCTTCCCAGACGCTCACCCACGAGCCGCCGCGGCCTCCTCCCCCGCGCCCCCCGCCCCCCGCGGCCGCCGCCGCCGCCGCCGCCGCCGCCGCCGCTAACCCGCCGCCGCTAACCCCCGCCGCCGCCGCCGCCGCCCTCCTCACCGCGCCGCCGCCGCCGCGCAGCAGCAGCTCCGGGGGCTTCCCGCCCCATCCCCGAGCCAGCCCCGGGGCGCCGCGGCCGCCCGGAGAACCGCAATCAAAGGCAAGGGCCCGGCCGCACTGAGCATGCGCGCCAGGGGCCCGGCGGAGGCAGGGAAGGGAATCGAGCGCCGCGCCCCTGCCCGGCGCCAGGCCCGGGCTTGCGAGCGTGGATGCGAGCGTGGATCGTCGGCTCCCGGCACCCGCCCGCGCCGTCGAGCGGCTTCCCGAGTCCCCGCGCCGCGGCGGCTCCGGGGGAGATCGGGGCGAGGCGGGTGCCGGGAGCCGACGATCCACGCCGGTTACGCGTCATCGTCGCGAAGATCGCGAAGACCGCGTGAGCGGGGACGGCGGTAACACGGAGAGCAGCGGCCTCGCGAGGAGCTCAGCGTTTGCCAGGTGCCCTTCCGGGCGCGCCGCCCGCGGGTACAAAAGCGGCCTTCCCGGAAAACGCGAGGAGGGCGGGAAAAACGGGCTGCTAAGCACTTTCTAAATCTAGGTTTTTGATTTATTCTTTTTGTTTTTTATTCATTCATTCGTTCGTTCGTTCGTTCATTCGTTCGTTCATTCGTTCGTTCATCTATTTATTCATTCATTTTTCATGCATTCATTTATTTATTTATTCATTAATCTATCATTTATCCATTCATTTATTCATTCATTCGTTCGTTTATCCATTGATTCATTCATTCATCTATTTATTTATTCATCCATCCATCTATTTATCCATTTATTCATTCAATCATTCGTTCATTTATCTGTTTATCTATCTATTCATTTATTCATTCATCCATCTATTTGTTCATTTATTCATTCATTCATCCATTTGTTCATTTATTCATTCAATCATTCATTCGTCTATTTATCTATTCATTCAATAATTCATTTATCTATCCATTTATTCATTCAATCATTCATTTATCTGTTTATTCATTCATTCATTCATCCATCTATTTGTTCATTTATTCATTCAATCATTCATTCATCTATTTATCTATTTATTTATTCATTTATTCATTCAATCATTCATTGATCTATTTATCTATCTATGTATTTATTCATTTATTTATTTACTTTTACAGGTGAGAAGCGGAGGGACAGAGACGTTAAGTAATATGCCCCAGATCACACAGCTGGTAAATATGTCAGAACCAAGGTTTGAATCCAGCCCGGATCCAGAGCATGGGCTCTTCACTACTGTACGGTTATTGCCTTCTATTGTCAGTCATTCACGCGTGGAAATATTTTGCTACAGCAAGAACGAAGCAGGCTAAAAAAAAAAAAAAAAAAAACAAAACAAAAAAAAACTAGTTTGCCGCGTTAGCAATGATGACAACTGTGACATTAACTGTATTTATTGTATCTTCAGAGGTTGAGTTGGTAGTTGGGAGGCGAGAACTATTTGTCAGCACATGGGAGAAGGCATTTCGGCTATAAAGCCCAAAACTGATTTTCTGTACTCAAGCAGATGAGAACCTCATGTTTCATTTTTATGACTGTTGCATATAAATGTGCTAAAATACACATATTGGAAAACAGCTTCTTTTGTAAATGCTAATGCCTTACTCTATTCAAATATCATGTCAGGTTTCAAATTTCTCTTTGAATCCGGAGCCATTTTCTTGTTTCTTCTGGGGCCCATGAGATCATAATCATTACTGATAGTTAAAGTTTGAAGTTTGGAATATACATTTCAAAGGAAAAGTGCCACAGAATTTAAAGAATAGAGCTCACATTAAATTTAGAGTGGCCAAAGTGCCTTTTACCACTGTTTCTCTGCATGCTGTGCACTAACAAAAGATGCAGTCCAACTGGTGTAAGTACTTCTAAGGTATTGAACAAATACTCTGGATCAATGCAGTGTGCCTACTTTTCTTAGAGCATGGAATTTGTTGTGGACACTGCTCCTGAGTTAGGGAAGGTACTATGTATTGTACCATATAAGAATTCTCCATTTGGCCTTCCTAGCTGTTACTCCCAGCTGTTGACCCTAACAGCTCAATTATGAATGCTATTTGGGGTTAACAAAATCAGGAAAGAATTACAAATAGAGATGCAAAAATTAGGGCATCAAAAACTGAAGAAGAAATCAAACTTGTTGGAAGTTGTCGGGAGGAAACAGTCAAGGAGAATAGTGCCTTGTGGGAATTATCAAGAGTTTATTCAGGAAAATACATATTTACCTTTTTGAAATGAATCATTTTAAAACAGAATTCATCAGTCTTTCTGTAAGAATACACAATGACTATGCTTATTTTGTGGCATACTAACTGAATATAAAAAATACGTGAGCAGAAACTTGTGTTTGTCCCTCTGTTTGGCATAACTTTTGACAAGCCTTCCAACTCTACCTATGCAAATGTGATAAATTTTGCCTTCAGAAAAGGTCCACATCAAAGTGAAGAGCATAAATGCTTATGCATAGATATGAACTGTTATTTTATTACTAAAAGGAAGAAAGGCCATTATAAGTTAGCATAAAATTGTCTCTTAACTGTCTCTTGAAAAAACCTTTTCCCCTCTTGCTTTCCTTGTTTTTTAAATAGAGAAACTACTTTAGCTATATATCTTCCCTTCCTTTGAGTTTGTAACATCAAATGATGTTCTGTAGTTTGAAGTTTCCGCTTAAGCTTTACTGTAAATATAGTTCAAGGGCTTGAGTTTTTTATTTAGATTTCACACTAACATCCTTATAAAAATAGAAAAATGTCAAATTTCTGAAATTATTGGAATCTGTAAGACTATTATAGTAATATATAATATGATGTTTGTTTCCAGTAGTTTTATTGGCACTTTTCTCTGACAAAGAATAAAGTGCATATAACAATATTTTCAAAAATTTTGATGATCAATATAATGATATTATAACTTCATATATTTGGGGAGAGGGTATTCCTCCTTTATGCACAGTCCTCTGCCTAGGCTAGATATTCATTTTTTTTATAATAAATTTATTTTTTATTGGTGTTCAATTTGCCAACATACAGAATAACACCCAGTGCTCATCCTGTCAAGTCCCCCCCTCAGTGCCCGTCACCCATTCACCCTCACCCCCCGCCCTAGATATTCAATTCAAATGGAGACTTCTGCTTTCTGTCATGATGGAATAACTGGTTAATTGGTTGAACTTACACTCCTACTCTAAATAATTGGCAGAATAGACAACTTCTATGAAATAATTTGTTTTCATACATTGGGAAGCATCAGACTATAATCACTGACAGAATGGAGACAAGTGAAGTGAACCCCACAAAATTGACCTAATTTTCTACCTGGAAGCATTTTCCACTGTGCAGGTGTCACCAGCTATACCCCAAGACCTGACTGCTCCCCTCCTTGTCCCACATCTTTGTCCGACATTTTTCCCTAAGCTCTTCTTTCTAGCCTATCTCTTAACTCAGGCAGATGGAAATGGAAACCACCCCTGAAGCCATAGCAACTGCCCTGACAAAACCTCCAGTCAGCCCAGACCACCCAGATCAGTTTCACTGTCATCCCTCACTTGTGCCAACACACAGGGACCTTGGAGTGACTCGAATGATCAACAACTACCTTTACTTCATTATAATACTAAAATCTCCACCCAAGGAGGAACACAAGCCTCATTTACATAACATACAATGTGTGTATGTAGCCATGTTTCCTTAAGGCGCTTGTGCGAACTTAGGCCCACCTTGACATCCAATGACAGGGCTTCCTATCTGAATATTCATTCTAATCCCAAATAAAAGGAACCCATCCACTCTTGCTCAGGGAATCACAGCCTTGGAAGCCATTCCTTGTGATCTCCCTATTTGTTGTAAATAAAAGTTTTCTTTGTGACACAACTCAACCTGGTACAAATTCACATTGATTGGTTCAGTTACACAGGGAGGAGAAATCTAAGAAGAGCCTGGAAACCTTGCTGAATTGAGGAGAGACAAGAATTAGGACATGCTAGAGCCTCTGATTGGCTAGGCATAATAACTACAGAGAAAGTTAGGTCTTTAAAGTGCTCCAGAAATCTGCAAAAGTGTTCTCTAGACACTGCTATTAATATTAAGACCTATGTGCATAAGGTTAAAATATGTAAGACCAACCAAAGACTGGTGGAGGAAATGTAAAAGTTTCCAAGGATCCCAACAGGACTAGGAGACTTTCAAGTTTGGAACTGTTAGAAATTAGAATTTTCTGGGAATTCTTGTGAAACTCTACTTCAGTAGAGTCCCAAGAAAAGTAAGGCTAAAGTTGCCCTTGGGAAAAAGCTAATTCCCATTGCCCACATAACGTTTTCAAGAAGCCTTGAAGAGATCAAGGTTCCCTGAAAGGAACTTTACTGGCTGCCAGAAATATCCAGCCCTCAACAATGTGAAATTCATATTGTTTAGCATGTAATAAAAATTATGAGGCAAAGGCTGAGTTCAGCTGGAACTATTTTATTGGAAAGCCTATACGTGGCCTCTCCATGTGGCATTGTCATAGAACAGTGGCTTCAGGCCCTAAGAATGAGTTTTCTTGTGAAATACACAGATATTTCATGGCCTTTCATGACCTAGCATTGGAAGTTATGTCCTATAACTTCCAATAAAGTTATGGAAGTTCCAATAAACTTCCATAAAGTTATGTCCACTTTTCTGGTCACAGTGGGCACAAAACTTTCAGGCTTAAGATGGGACAGGTATAAGAGGAGGTGGGAAGCACAGACATTCCCTCCATAAGAAGTGTACCACACAGGATTTGTAGGTAATTTTTAAGTAGCCACATTCTTTCCTTTGGTAACAAACACTGTTTCCTTTCACGAGAAATATATACTCTTCTTCCCCATGCAAACAAAATTCTCACCCCAATATACCAACAGTCTCAAGTTTATTAGGTAGGAACTTGAAAGCTAAATTAGATCCAGGCACTGAAAGCCTCTTTGGGCTCTTTCTTTGTTACACTTATTCTTGATCTGAGAACATGTAACTAAAGAAAAGTTTCTGACTCCCATACACCAAAGGCATAGGAAAAATGTCATAATCACTTCCATTCAAGAAGTGGGCAGATGGGATGCACACAAGAATCAATGGTCAAGGTTAATTATGAGATCTATCTCTAAATTCCCTAAATCTTTGACATGAACCCAGTCTTCCTCCCTGGGAAATGGTGGAAGATTTTATATATCTCTGTGTGTGTGTGTGTGTATATATATATATATATATGCCCTTCAAAAACACAGACTTCAAGTTGATTTTTGTAAGTTTGCATATTTTAAAAGATAAAAGACCCTGGAAACTAAATAATGTTAATTTGTTCATGTTAATTTTTGTCTTTGTGATGTAATTGTCAATTATACTATTAATTACAGAGTATCAACTGTACTTTGGTACTTCAAAGAATTAACAGTCCATCAACAACTTTTCAGTAGATCCACGAGAAGAATGGAAGGATCAGTGTCTGAGTAACCATTACAGAGAATTGCCACATATTGAGCAAAGTATCTTGTAAAATGCTATATTGATTTTGTTATGAGAAACATTTGATTAAAAAGTAGAAAGCCCCACTATAATTTAGGTAGTATATCTTAAATCAATACAAATAATTAGTTTTTTTCATTAGGTATACAATATAACATTTTGATGTCAGTATTTTGTAACTTATCACTTATATAAATAGCTTAGCTGAAAACATCTTTTCAATTCCTTATGTGTCTTTTTGAAATGTAATTTTCCAAAAAAAGATTAACTGATATTGATTGTGATGAAATCTTACAACATATGAAGTACACTAGGAACGCCATGATACAGACATTGCTGGTAGCTCAGTCGGTTAAGCATCTGACTCTTGATTTCAATTCAGGTCATGATCTCAGAGTCCTGAAATCAAGCCCAGCATTGGGCTCCATGCTGGGCATGGAGCCTACTTAAGGTTCTCCCTCGCCTGATGCCCTTCCTGTGCTCGCTCTCTCTCTCTCTCTCTCTCAAACAAGTAAATAAAATATATAATATAAACATTGCCTCATTTTTTAATATTTTTCTATCTCACAATGAAAAAGATATATTTGTATAGCTCTGTAATACAAACCTTCTAATCATGCAAATTTGGATAACTCAAGTAAATGGAGTAAACAGTCAAATGCTAGAATTCAATAGCATTTAAAGAAGCAATATGTTGGGAAAGAACTGCTTCAAAAAATCGGACTCAAGTCACTTTAAATCAATGTTTCTAATTAGAATAATAAATAGTCATAATTAACTGAGATCACCAAATTCTTAGCTCCATTAAACAAAGCATAATACAATTTAGCTTGTGCATGAAATTATAAAGTCTCCTGAGATTTGACTGATTCAGTCTTGAGTAATTCAATTAAAGAGATTTTTATTATATTTAAGTCATTCTATAACTGATAAGATATGTAAAAACACAGGCTTTAAGAAAAACACACTGAGGAATATGATTGAATATTGAACAGATAAGGAAACATTTCAACATAGCATTTCTAAATTCTAAAATGCCTTTTTGCAAATGTATTTATTAGTTACATGGCAAGTAAAAATAATACGAAGCATTGTCTAAGCATAAACTCCTGAAATAGGTTAACAAGGGCAAACTCATTAAAATAGCATAATTGGTAAAAGTTAAAATCAATATTTAGTAATTAGTTCTGTCAAGTACCACCTCATTGAGCAAAATAACCTTGAACCCAGCTTACAGGGAGATCTTGAGGACACAAACTATATATATATATATATATATATAATAACCCAGTCTTCCTCCCTGGGAAAATTATATATATATATATATACATATTATATATATATGATATGTATATAATTTGCAGATAGCTAGTGAAAAAAATGCTTGACAGAGAAGATGGATAAGACAATGAAGCAGAATTTGGATGGCTGCTGTAGATAGGGTGGGCAGAGGGCAGGTCTAATCTCTTTGAATAGGATGTATTTGCGTAGATATTTTCTTGAAGTTAGGGAAAACCACACAAGTGTCTGGAAGAGAATGTCCTATGAAATAGCAAGTCCAAACTTTGGAACAAATGCAAGAATGATTGTTCCATGAACAGCAGAGCCCAGAATGGCAAGAGTGGAGTGAGGGGGATGACAAAAGGAAAAGGGGAGTGAAAAGGGGACATACCATGTAATGTCTTATAGACCTTAGTAAGGACTTTGAAATGTGGTCTAAGATTGATGGGAAGACTATTTGAGCATTGTTTTAAAGGGGCACTTTGTCTTCTACTTGAAATAACTATTTGTGGAGGGGACAAAAGAACAAAAATGTCACTGCAATTTGTAAACACTATAATTGAACTAGTGTATTTCGTGACTTTTTTCCTTTCTTTTTTTTAATACCTAAATTTGGGTGCTACCTATGAAGTAATTAAATGGATGAGGGATATTCCCATGATCTTAGTATTCCCATGATCCTAATTTTTTAACTTTGGTTATTTAATATATATGACATGGAATGTAATAGAAAACCCACTTTATATGATTTTCTACATTTAGAAAACAATGCTGCTATGATTATGGCTATGTCTTTGGTAGGAATTTGGTAGGAAAAATCATCTAGTTAGGCATTTTCTAG